CCCCCGCGCTGCTGTCGGCCCCCCTGACGCAGACGCCCGCGCCCCAGGGGGAGGCGTCGGATGCGGAGACCTCGCGGTGCCAGGGGGCGGCGAGGTGCGCGGCCAAGAGGGGTAACAGGTTCCGCACGGTGCGGAACTCACAGCGCACCGACGCCCGCAGGGGGAGGGCCTCCTCCCGCGCGGCCTGGCAGCAGCGGTAGCTCGCGTCGAAGATGGCGAGCGACGGCCGACGCAGCAGCATGATCCACGCGCAGTGCCCCGGCAGCACCTCCACCATCTCCCCGTGCACAGTGGGGCGGGATAGGAGCTCCTCGATGGCGTAGCGCACCTGCCAGAGCCGCTTCGGCGAGACCCGCGCGCTGCGCGTCGTGCCGCAGAGCTCCAGCCCGACGAACGAATAATTTGCTGGCCCGCTGCTGCTCGTGCACACTGAAGCCGAGCCTAGCCAGCTCCGACTCCACCCTGACGGCCGTCGCGTCGACCGTGGCGCGGCAAGCGCCCGCCACCAGGTAGTTATCCACGTGCCCGGCCGCGCCGGGCCCGTCGCTCTTGCCAGGCGCGAGGCCCTCGCTGCGGTCCCGTGCGCGCCGCGAGAGGGGCACCCCCGCCCGCGCCGGCGCCGACTCGGTGACCAGCTGGCAGCGGTGCATGGCCCAGCTCCAGCCCATGGGGAGGATGGTGAGCTGCGGGGCGAGCCACTCGGCACTGTCGATGGCGACCCCGTCGAGCGAGTTGACCCCCACCATGCCCGCCCTGATCCGACCAAGCTGACAATGACGACACAGGCCCCGCGGAATCCGCGTGGCGTAGAACGCGTTCTCGATGTCCCCGCAAGCGAAATAGAGCGGGCCTGAAGTATCGCTCTCCAGCCGAGAGAAAGCGGCGGCCGTGGGAAGCTCCGTGGAAGGGGCTCGGTGGAAGTGAAGGTTGACCAGCCTCGTGTCGAAGATGAGCCGCTGTCGGTCGCCCTTCTTGCGCACCGCGAAGGCCCCCAGGTTGGGGGCTCTTCCATCCCACCTTGAAAACTGGAGCACGCCGCGTCGGAGCAGCTGCTGGAGAAATCGCCCGTGGACCTTTGGATCGCGAAGAGCAGGATCAGAGTGGGGACGCCGCGGTCCCAGTTCAGCACGTAGCTGGCCGTCTCCTCCGGGCTGCGGAGCACGCTGGCCCCCCAGTCCGGCAGCCGCGCCGCGTCGGCGGGCTGGAGGGCCGACTCGAGGCAGGCAAAGGTCGTCCCAGCAGCCGGCCAGGACACAAGGTCCTCGCTGTAGGATACCAAGTCCGCCCGCTCCATGCCGTGCATGGGGCAGGCACCGCAGAGCTCGCGCAGGCTCCCGCGGGGGCGCGCGGTGTCGGGCGGACCCGGGAACGAGGTGTACTGCTCCCGGACGTGCTCGAGCGCCATGTGCTGCAAAACTGAAGCACGGCGGGGTAATTATGCCCCCTCCCGCGCCCCGCCGTGTCTTTGAGCGACCTGGTGCCGAGGTTGGCCCACTCGAGAGAATGCTGCAGCCTACTCCGGCGCCGATCCACAGCTCGGCAGGCGCCAGGCCGCGGCGGTAGCTCATCGAGAAGAGGAAGACGGACAACGTCTCGCTGACGACTGGGGCCCATCAGAGCCTCGGAGCGCGACGATGCGGCCAAAAGTGGATCAGCGGAGGGCGGCCGACCACCTCCACTGAAGGGGCGATGCGACGCCCCGCCCTCGTCGCGATTTAGCTCCTCTCTTGGCGGCCGCCCCGCCCGAGCCTGAGCCGGACCCGCCTCCGGGGGCAGCCAGCTGTCGCTCTTCTCGGGCTTTCCGTCGCCCCTTAGCGATGCTGCTCTCCGCCTGCAGCCGCTCGGCCACCCACTTGGTAAGCTCCGGGCTGACCACGAGGCCCCGAGTGGAGCTCGTGTCCGCGAAGAAGAAGCCCCCGTCCTGGGACAGCCCACCAGCCCCACGCTGCGCCAGAATCTTGTCCTTCTCCTCGCAGAGCTGGAGCTGCCGGGCCACCAGCTCGCCGCTCGCCAGGTTCGCCCCGTCGAGCTGGTCGTGAGCGCGCATCGTCTGAAGGATCTTGCTGAACTCTGCGTGCATGTGCACAATCGGGTCGTCTGGGCTGACGGTTGCTCCCAGCGAGGCCTTCCAGGCCACATGATGCCCCATGGGGGTGCCGCCGTTCTTCATCTGGTACTCCACCACCCACTGGAACGCACGCGGCCCGGGGACGGGCCAGTCCGGGAAGGCGGTCGAGCGGTTGCCCTGGACCGCCTCCCAGAACTCCCGATAATGGCTGCCCTGTCGGTCATACCGCAAAGGTAGGGTGCGCAGGTCATCTCCGTGTCGAGGAAACCCACCACCTCCTGGCTCACCGTCACCGTCTGCAGGCGAGGGCGCCCCGGCGAGGGCGGCGGCCAGCCCCGCCAGACCATCGGCGGCCGGCGCTGGGGCGGCGGCGGCCGCGGCGCCGGCTCCCCCAGCCACCAGGGCCCCCCCCCGGCGCCCCCGCGCCGGCCGCGAGGGGCGGCGCCCCGGGCCCCGCGCCGCCAGCACCGGCGGCGTGGCCGCCTGCGGGCGGCGCGAGGGGGACCGCCCCGGCCGCAGCCCCGCCGCCGCCCAGGGCGGCTGGCATCCCAGCAGCCACACCGCCGCCGAGCAGCCCAGCCGCCCCCCCGCCTCCGCCGGGCCCGCCGACGGCGCCCCCAGCGGGGGCCACGAGGCCGCGTCGGGCCTGCTCGAAGCACGCCATCGCCACCTGCGCCTGCTGGAACAGAGTGACCATCTCGAGCGCGTCGGGCATGACGGCGAAGTCGTAGTGGGCCCGACCTCCAGGTGCTGCGACCGCCAACGCCCCAACGCCACGGGGGTGCTTGAGGTAGTACCCGCGCAGGTCAGCATTGCCAGGGGTGAACTCTTCCACGTACACGTCCATGTCCGGGGTGAGCACACTGTAGGCCCCAGCCACCTGGCTCGAAGCAAGCAGGAGAAACCGAGCATGCAACAATGGAGGGTCAACGTCATATTCAACCCAAATCTCATCCCCAGCGTTCATCGATACTGGCCTCCTCCTCTCGGCACACGCGGGTCGGGCGAATTGCTCGACTGCTCCAGGCGTGCCGCCCCCAGCTGATCGCCGCGCGGACGAGCTCCAAGGCCAGAAGCGCGATCGCCCCCAGCAGGAACTCGAGAGCCGCGCGCCACCAGCCCGCTGTCGCCCCTGCGCCGCACTCGCAGCGGCACTCGGGGCAAGGGTTTGGGCACACCGGTGCCCTGGTGGCCAGGCAGTCGCCCAGCGCCTCCTGCAGGGTATCCAGCACCTGCCGGACGTCCCTCGGCGCCCCGGCGCCGCTGTCCAGCTCCGCCTCCGCAGGGCTGGGCGGGGGCGCCTCCACAGGCGCCGGAGGAACACGCGGGAGCGCGAAGTGCGCAAGGAAGACCCTGGTGAATTGCGCGATTCCCAGGCTGGCCAGCGCGCGGAAGCTTGGCATCATCCGAGCTGCCTCGCGAGAGAACTGAGCCAGAAAGGTTGCGGAGGATAAACCCTCGCGGCTTTCTGACGCCAATGAGATGAAATGTGACACACGACCATCATCATCATCAGCCTGCTCTTCCTCTTCCTCCTCCTCGTCCTCCTCTTCCCCCCCCCTCGTCGACCGTTGGTCGTCCGTTGTCGTCGTCATCGTCCATCCCAACAACAGCATCAGAAGCGCCCCAGATCGGCGGCACTGGCCGGAGGCCACTACAATATGCTCCACCGCACCTCGCGCCCGCAAGCCAGGCACAGTGGTGGGACAGGCCTGAAGGCAAATAACAAATACATTGACACTTTTTGAAGGTGTGCAGTGCATGTGGATGTAATCAATAGAAACAGCGCGCAAACACTTGGCTATGCGCGAGGCTCTTCCCACTCTTAAGCGTCTTGTCGGCCAGAGGTTTGGCGTAGCATTATCAAGTGTACAGTTGTTCTTGTTTTCGGCGGCATGCCCCATCTGGACAAGAACGAACCTTTAATAACAGCGGCAAGCTTTCCCGCTCAAAGTATTTTGTGTGGCCATTGGCAGGACAACAATTCAGGACACCTTTGGGCCCCTCGACCACCTCCAAGTCCTCGTCCGAGGCCACGATGCCGAGATTCGCCTCATTGCCCCACAAATGGTGCTTGCGGTAACGGTGCCTAACCTGCCCGGCCGAATCAACCAACACGGCCGTGTTCCAAAAATCACGCGCGCCATGTCTCCTCTCCGCGTACCCGACGCACAACGCGAGCCCCTCCTGGAGGTGCAGGAAAATGCCCACCCGTCACACCCTCCAACCACACACACATTCACACACACACACGCACATAAACCCGTTCCTCGGAGCGTCTAGGCCAGATCCCAGAAATGCATGGTGTGGCGGGGCCATCTGTGGGGGGCTCTGGGCCTTGCTTGAAACGCATCTCCACAAGAACGCTCCAATTTCGGTCATCCAATCCGCCACCGTGCTGACGGCGCGTTCGGGCGTTTTGGGCCGAATATCAGCTGTTTCGTGATAACCAATGACAGAAATGGCTCCTCGACGATTTGCTACCTGACACATTTTGTGCACAAGTCGGCCCCAAGACGACCGCAAATATTCCCCATGAGACCCTAGCAAGGCTTGGGGAATGCTTCTGAAGGCCGATAGGTCCGAGACGGCCCTAGAACGCCTCAAGAAGCTTCCGAGTCGGCCCCAAAGGGCTCCATGATGGCCCGGAAATCCTCTCAAGACGGCCCAGGACCGCAGAAGGCCCCAAGTCTGTCCCAAGTCTCGTCCAGCTCATGATGTTGCGCCGAGCCTTTTCAGGAGAACTCAATGAAACCATAACGCCCAACAAACCCCAAAAAGCCCTACAGAAGCCCTCAAGAAACCGTCAATTGATCCTCAACAAGCAGTCGAGAAGGCCCCAAACAACTGATCGGATGTCACCAAGAAGGGCCCCCGAAACCTCCGAGAAAGCTCCCGTAACGTAACACCCATGCAACGGTACGGCGAAGCCGGGCTGCAACACCGTAGCGCTGCTTCTCAGAAACTCCGCCATAATTCTACCGATCCTGCTCAAGAGAGTCGGGTAGAACCATCCGCATGCACGTCGATGGTGTGGCAGCAAGGGGGCTTTGCCGCAGATAGCTGGATCAAATGCTTTGCAGCGTTGTGGGCCCAACAATAACAATCGAATGGCCCAATTTCATCAGACGGTACTGTGGGGATGCTTTTAGCCTTTTCACTTGATCCTGCGATTTGGCAATGACATTTGGCTCCTCGCTGGCGATGGTGGCGATCCGCGCTTCCACCGCCTCGCGCTGGGCCGAGAACCTTGGGCATCCGACATGAACATTTGCTTCGAAAACTATCCGAGGGGGGAGCAGCCGGGGAGGCGAAGGGGAAAGCGCGGGGGGAAGGGGAGCGGTCAGGTGAGGGGCGACGGTGTGGACATCGATAAAGGAAACACATCGGGAGACGGAATGGGCTGGACATCGTGAGGCGGTTCAATGGCTGGAAAGGTCGAGAGACTTGATAGGTCAATGCTACGATAACCCAAGACGCTCCTGGGTCCTATGTGGGCAAACTTCAACTCGACACGTAATCTTACACAGTCTCAGGAAGCTGGAAGGCACCCATAGCTCGATTCACATGTGGAACATGCGGGGGCCACATACATGTTCATGATGGGTACTGTACTGCTGACAAGCTATTTAGTCGTTTGGTCACCATTCTTGCGATCTCAAGAGTAACAGGACGCACGCGACCATACTAAGATCAGGAAATTCGTAGTGTGCACGAACACCACTGTGCTTGTGAACACCAAGACGCATGCCGCATGCGATCCTGACACTGCCCGTGGCTCTTAGCATGTGGGCCACCATAATTTCCAGATCCCTTGCATTGGTTGTTGTACCCAATTGTGTGAACAAATGCCTCGTATGTAAGACTGGCTGAACAAACCGTCAAGACGGCACCAACATGAACATACAATGGTAACGTAACATGAGACATGATGTCAACGCGTCGACCCCCCCAAAATTGATTCGTCCATGCACAGGCGTGTGTGTGTGTATGTGTGTGTGTGTGTGTGTGTGGAGCCCGAGGGGTGCCCAATGAGTGTGGATCCATGTTTGGGAACACAACGTGCGCAACCCACCGCGCAACTTCATGGCGGCCACAGCTGGACCTCGGCGGGCTGGGCACAATTCTTGCAGCACAGCCCACCGCGCAACCCCATGCCGGCCTGGGTTGGAACCCAGCCCATGAGGCCATTTGCACACAACGCACGTAGGATCCCCTTAAATGCAAGACTTGTTGTTGAGCTGTTTGTGGAGCCCCTGCGCGCGTGCATGTTGAATTCCATCCGTGGAGCCGCCGCGCAAATCACCGCGCAACCCGCTGCACAACCCACCGGCCATCGCGCAACCCACCGCACAATCGCATGCACTTGCCGAACACAACGCATCGGGCCCACTGGCTACCGCTCAACCCACCGCACAATCCTGTGGACACTACAGCCAGGACCCTGGCACGCTGGGCCAGCTGCTCACACGACAAATAAGAACCCCTTAAATGCGAGAACTGCTGTGGGAACAGCAAGCAACCAATCGAACACACTAAACACATAACATGACAACTTGGAAAGAGGGCGGCAAACGCCACTACATCTACCAGCGCCGTCTATACACTATATCAAACACAAGATTACCTGCTGGTCATACTGATTATGTTCCCGTCCGCCCTTGTTGTCAAAACGATGTTTTCAAGTCGCCGTGCCTAGTTTGGGTGTCCAGGGGTCGACGATTCGAGGCGCCTGATGGATACCATTGCAATGTGCGCGCGTCACAGCCGCTCTTGCGAATGCGTTCGTTTGTGTTCAGTATGTTCAACTACCACTGTGATTACAATGGCTGCTGTTCTTGCTGCCATGTGTATATATACATATAAGTATAATAACCGTTGCTGCTGATACGTGTGTTGTTGCTGCTATTCTAACATGCGAACATGCGTGTCGCTGGTCTGGACATTCATTATGCTGCGACCGCTATTGATAAGTATACATGCGCTACTAATGCTGCCGCAACTTCGTCGGCACGTACGTTATACTCGTTGGCGTAGCCATTCGGATAATACTTTAAGACGTCAAGTTGTGAACGCTGCAATGCATGTGGGCACGTTCAGATGCGCACAACAGCTCCTACGAGCAACGGGTTGTCCAAGCGCGCCGCAGCTTCTGTGAACACCTCGGCGTGGTGTTCTCGAGTACCTCACCCTTTATTGACGCAACGTGGCACGCGAGGACCGGACCGCCCATGAACGCCACAAAGCTTCGGAACACCGCATTGGCCGTTTATCATGATTTTCGGACCGCCGTGAAGATTACACAACACTGTTAAGGTGTTTTGTCTGCCGCGCAGGCATACCATAAACCCGCACTCAGAGATCCACAGAGTGGTGGCAAGTTCGCAGAGAATAAACGTGGCACTCACATGCACAGAATAAACGCACTCACGTTTCTCTGTCTTGCGTCGCCAATCGTCCCCACAAACACTGTTACTGGGACAAATCGATCTCCAGGGGCGGCAAAACTTCAGCCCGGCGGTGGTCGCGGGCAGGCGACTCTCGAAGACACCGTACCCCCCAACTGTAGTACCTTGAGGGTACGCGTGCCCCTTGAATTGCCTGCAGTAAAACGACGCGAAGATGGGGACACAATCGGATCGGGATAACTCGAAATCTCTGAGAATCGGCGGGCTTGGAAGATGTATTGGGCGCCGCGGCCGCTCCAGAGCGTCACGGAACGCTCTGAGAGCGCTCCGGAACGCTCTGGAGCGATTTATCCCGATCCTAGCCCTGCTTTATACAGGCCAGTTGGAAGAAACCAATAGCAACATGAAAAAACAGTAACGTGGTCGAATCTATCTCGGTATCAATACGCCCAGGCGAAGGGCGGTGCAAACACGAAACCATCGATCATGGAAACAAGACGGATTCGGGCCCGGGCCCCCCCACACGCACATACTCACACAGACACACTGACGCACACGCACACACACATACTGTTTGCGTCGGCGGCTGGGCAGAGGGCGACTGCTGCGGCGGGTTGGCATAAGAGAAAAGGTTGCATGCAAATGAAAGCCGCGATGCGCAGAATGTAGAGGAGGAGCCTGGCGCGACAGGAAAACAAGAAGCCGGGCCACTCAGAGCTGCCGGCTGCGGCGGGGGGGCGCCGATGGGGGGGGTGACGCTGGCCCAAAACTGCGCTGAGCTGAAGCTGGAAGCAGCGCTGAACTGCAGCTGGTGATGGAGAAACACAATGTAGCAGATCCCGACCCTGTGAACCAGAGCGCAGTCCAGAGATGGGCCAGCGCGCCGAGACTTGCGGGCCGACGAGGCTCGCGCGGGGAGGTGGGGGGCAGAGAGGCCCGATAAGAACTGCCGACTGCGGCGGGGGGGGGCGCCGAGGGAGGGCACCTGCGCCGGCGCTGAGCTGCGCTGAGCTGACCATATCTGAGGCCGGGGGGGAAGCAGCGCTGAGCTGCAACTGGTGATGGAGAAACACAACGTGGCCGCCCTGATCCAGTGAACCATGGCAGCGTCCAAGGATATGCCGATGCGCCGAGGCCCGCGGGCCTGCGAGGCGTGGGCAGGGAGGGGCGGGTGCGGACAGGGGCGAAGGCGCCGCAAGCAAGGGCGCCGAGAGGGGGAAACTGGCGACGGCTCCGTGCGGCACTGGGCGGCGCAAAACAGAAGCGGGCGCGGGCGGCCCGCGGAAGGGCAGCGGTCTGGGGGGGCAGGGGAGGCAAAGCAGAGCCCAAACCCGTTGCCGAAGGGAGATCACCCCGAACGTCGGCGACGGTGGGGGGCGCCGAGACCGGGGCGACCTACGAGGCGCAAGGCGTGGAAGTGAGAGGCGGCCCAGCGACGCGCAGCGGCGCAGCAATCCATGGCGGGAAGAAGCAAAGCCGCGCAACGTGGGGGGGCGGCGGGCCCATTTCGCCAGCGGGGCGACAGCCGGCGCCGCGGCGTGCCTGACCGAGGCGAGGCAGCGCGAAGCACGCGAGGCCCAGACCCCAGTGGGCGCCGAGGCCAAACAGGGCGAGTGCCGAGCCCGGGCGGGCCACAGGCACAGGCGTGGAGCAAGGCAGCGGCGAGCGGCGGCGAGCGCCAGCCGAAGGCGGGGGGCGCGAGATGGCCGCGCCCAATTGGGGGGCGCCGGGCCAGGTGGGGCGAACGAGGTGGGCGCCGAGGCCAACGGGCCAACTGGGCAGAAGCCGACGGCGGCAAGGTGCCGAGGGGGCATCGGCGGCCAGGCGCCAGCAGCCGGCGCTGGGGGGGCGGTCAGAACGCCGAGCAGATGGGGGGGACACAAGCAATGTGTGTGGCGAGTGTGGCCCGGCCAGCGAAACGCGGCGCGGGCCAGCGAGGCGCCGCGGGCGGCGCCTGGGCAAAACCTGCACCAGGCCGGCGCACCAGGAGTCATGGGGCAGCGGCGGGGCAGGGCGCCTGGGCGCGGGCGGCGAGGGGCGGCCCGGAGGCCGCGAGCAGGCGGCAAGACCAGCTCGCCGTGGCAGGGCCCGCCCAGGCAGGGCGGCAGCGGCGGGTACCAGCCAAGCGCCGCCAGCCATGGCAGCCAGTGACACCCCCACGCGGGCGTGAGAGCGCAACCCCGGCGCAGCGGCGGCGCCGGCGGCTGCCGGGGGGGGCGGGCCCCGAGCGAGAGCTGGAGGCCTGCGGGGGGCGGCGCCGAATAAGTGCGCGATGACGGGGCTCCGAGGGGGGGCGGCGAGGCAGGCCCTGGGCAGGGACTGGAGGTCGGCGAGGGGGCGCCGAATAGGTGCGCGATGCAAGACGGCCAAGAAGGCGAGGAGGGGCGTGCATCGGCCGGGGCGGCCACTGCCAAGGCAGGGTCGTCAAACTCAGCGCGGGGCAAGGCGGCGGGGCAGCTGTGTGAAAGCTACCGGCGGTGGCTGCTGGAAGCTGACCAGCGCTGGCGGGAAGGGTCATTGCTGGGCCGAGAGGAGCCCGCCGGCCGCTTCCCTCTCCGACGCGGCGGGGCCCCTTTACCTTTCGCGAGCTCAGCGCCCTGTCTCCTCTTGTCAAGTTCTCGATGCCACTCAGTATTCCAATCGACTTGTGCGCCTTTCCTCCAGCAGAACCTGCAAGCGTCGCGATTGGCCTCGCTGAGGCCGCGCGCGAAACCTCGGCGGGATTTCGAATTGTGGCGCTGGAGGTCTTTAGCGGGGTGGGGCCCGCGCTCCCGGTCGCAGACGGCGTTCCGCCCGATGGCCAGCGCGGGGCCGCGTGCCTTCTTGAGGCGGCTGGTCACTGCTCCCAGTCCTCCCTTGCGTTAGTTCGGCGGTTCCAGGTCGAGCGCCAAGTCGCCTGGCGCCTCGGCTCGTCTCAGAGACCGCCCGCGTTGTCCGACTGGGGCGGGGGCGGCGCGAAAGGGGGCAGGTGGCGAGGTGCCGGCCCCCGTCTCCGAGGCGGGGCTCTTTCCGCTGAGCCTCGTCCGCGCCGCCTCTGGGGGGCGCCTGGGCTGCGCTGCTCGCCAGCCGGGGGGGGGGGTGCGCACTGATTCTTCCTCTGCGGCCTGCGATGCGTCGGCGTCAGGCTGATCGGCCAGCGGGGCATCCGCGTGATTGGGGCTGGAAGAAGGCGGCGCGCTGACCGCTGGCAGAGAGGAGGTGCTGGGGCTGCGCCGTCTCCTAGATCGCCCACTGGCAGGGCTCGCCGGGAGCCCCCCCCCCCTCGCCCCAGTCGCAAGATCATCTAAGGTGGGGCCCGCGCGAGGCTGAGCGGGGGCTGGAGCTCCTCCCTGTCTGGCCCCGCCTAGCCGCATGGGGGAGCTTCTGACGACTCCGCGCGCGCGCGCCCCCTCCCCCCCCCCCGCGCCCCGAGGAGGTGGGGGATTGGCTGGAGGCGCGCCGCTCCGGGTCTGGCCTCGGAGGCGCTGGGGGGGGCGGCAGTCTGGGTTGCTCCGCGTGTGGGGCGCCGTTGCTGGGGCGCTGGGCTGTCGACTCTCCCTTGGGCTCGGATCCTGGAGGGCAGCCAGCTGCCGCCCGCGTGGGGGCGTTTTGGAGGGCCCCATGTGAGGGTGGGCCTCTTCTTTGCTGCAGTTGCGCGGAAACCCCGCGCGAGTGGGTGCTGGAGCGACGTTTTCCCCGTTGCGTCCAAGTAGCCGAGCAAGATTTCCTGGCTATACCACGCCGGGTCTCGCCCCCTCCGGGGCGCTCGAAGGTCTTGCTTGCTGCGGTGCGCATCCCAATCGTCGGGCACCTCGTGCGAGCTGGAGGGACTTGGGAGTCCTGGCGATGGAGGTGGTTGACCAGAAGGGCCAGGGTTGCGCGCTTAGCGTCCCATTGAGGATCCCACTGCGGGGTGGAGTCGCCGCATGCGGAAACCAGAAACTCATGGCAGCACACCTCGGGTCAAGCTCTGGGGTGAGAGGGGTATCCCATGCCTCTCTAAGACTGGCGTAGCGAGGAGTCAACGTTTCTTGCCGTCCACGTCCTCCAGCGCTTGTCCACCTCTGGAGAGACTGACTGTCTGGATAAGCGCCACCATGACGTACGCGATTGTGTTGTCAGCACTCCTGGGCGCCTTGTCAGGAAGGGTGCGCGTGGCTGCCTGCAGGGTGGCAGTGGCTCTCACACTCAGGCGGGGCATGCCCGAGGATTGACGGATTGACGCTAGGGAGGCCATCCAGGAAGCTAGGGGGGGCGTCGCACGGTCGGCTGTCTGATCCGCCCGTGTGCTGCCGCATGCCCTTGGTGTTGAGGCAAACCTTCTCGGCTGGCGACGCGCCATGGGGGGGGGCTGCGAGGGTCTGCGGGGCGGCCGCTGGATGACGCCCTGCCTCGCCGCGAAGACGCCTTGCATCTCTCTCTCTCTCTCTTTTTTGTCTCTCTCTCTCTCTCTCTCGCACACACACGCGCACACACACGCACACACGAACACACACGCACACACACACACACGAACGCACACAAACACAGACACACACACACACACACGCACACACACACACACACACGCACACACACACACGCACACACACACACGCACACGCACGCGCACAAGCACACACACACACGCACACACAAACACACACACACGCACACACACACACACGCACGCGCACGCGCACGCGCACGCGCACGCGCACGCGCACGCGCACGCGCACGCGCACGCGCACGCGCACGCGCACGCGCACGCGCACGCACACCGCACACGCAGACACACACAGACACACAGACACAGACACAGGCACAGACACAGACACAGACACAGACACAGACACAGACACAGACACAGACACAGACACAGACACAGACACACACACACACAAACACACACACACACACGCACACACAAACGCACACACACACACACGCACACACACGCACACACAAACGCACACACACACACACACGCACGCACACACATGACACACACACACACACGCACGCACACACGCACACACATGTGAACACGCACACACACACACACACGCACACACACATACACACAGACACGCACACACGCACGCACGCACGCACGAACGCACACACACACATGACACACACACACGACACACACACACACTCACACACACCACACACACACACGCACACGCACGCGCACACACAGAGACTTTCAACGAACAGCCTGCCAAGGCTGCGCCCTTGTCCGAACTCCAGCGGTGGGACAGTTTGTATTCGGGAACCCGGAATGGCCGAAGAAGTGGAACCCGGGCAGGCACAGTTCTGGCGTCAGCAGCAACTCGGCCCCGCCCTCCTTGGCCGACCTGGGAGTGCCGGTGGAAGACGGCAAGCAAGCTTCTTCCGGGGTAGCGCTGGACGAGAAAAGCCCAAAACCTTTACCATCCAAGACGACCATGACTCCGATGCGGCTTCCAAGAACCCCTGCAAAAGCCCCAAACGCATGGTGTCGGGATGTGCCGGAGGCCACTAGCTAGCAGGCTTCTTCAGGGGTGTGCTGGTCGACGTTAGGGACTTAAGAACCTGTTCTGGGCTTCCCCGAGATGCCCATGACCTGGACATCTGTTCGAGCTGTCCGGGGTGAAGCTCGGGCTCGCGTCGAACGACACTAGGAACGGATGGAGCCTCCGAGCTCTTGCCTGGACGTTAGCTTGGTGGGCGAAGTGAGGCTGGGTCGCTGGGAGAGGCTCTTCGAAGTCCCCGTGAGCGTGGAGGTCTCCAGCGAGAGCCCCCCGATGGACCACCGATGGTTCGGGACTTTCCTGGACGCCGACGGAAATCTTTCCCACGCCGCCAGGGTCAACATGGAGCGCTGAAGTAGCTCACCGAATTGCTGCCGTAGACTGAACCCGAGGAGAACAGGATTCGAAACGAATCTCGAGGCTGATGGTCCTCAGGCATTGGAACAGCAAGACCGATTGAAGGATCTCAGAGTTCTCCATCGATTTGCCATCCACGAACGTCCTACATAAGCTGGGTCATCATCTTCATGGCCTGCCAGAGCCATTAACACATCGCAGCAATACTTACGAGGACTACAAAAATAACTCTTAGTGTTTTGGGACTTCCACGGAGAGCTTGTCATGAGCGTACGGGCTGCGCTGGAAGCAGTCTTGGTGGCGCCCCCCTCCATCACAGCGTGGGCCTGAGGGAGTGGGTAGTACTGCTTCTTCCCGCGAGAGTTGCGATGACGGTGGTCTACATTTGTGCATGACACACCTGCCTGAACAACGACATCGCCTGCCGCCGCCGTCCGCCTGCCTCGCACGCGCAAGCCCCAACTCGGTAGCCGATATTGTCCCGCTCTACCGCGTCCTGCTGAGCAACGATAGCGCCTGCTCCCACTGCCCAACTCTCTCGCACGCGACGACTCCCACGTTGTAGCTAATTTGCAGGAAACTTCGTCCGCGTCAGAGCTCGCAGAGTCAAGGTATGCATCGTCTGTCACGGGGTCCCTCTTCAAATCATAAGCCGAGCGTTAGCGACCGACCAAATAAAACGTTGGGCCATCTGGCTCTTCTCGAAAGAAGCCTTCCCTCCTCCCCCTACCCCCCCTTTCTGAGCGTGGCCGACTGATTGATCTGTGATGGCCCCGGAGCCCGAACTTGGGCGAAAACGCTAGGCGTCAGGAAATTAGCAACGTCCGAACCTTAGGTCCCGCGGCGGCTGTTCGGGACGATTCGGGCACCCCCTGGACGCCCTCGGCGAGGCGCAGCTGCTGGAAGGTATCCCGAGGCTGGAAAAACTGTAGGAATCTACGGGAACCTCCAGAAACCTCCCGTCGCGATATTTCTGCGAAGTTATCAGAGCGGACGACCTGGCGACCTCCCGCAGCTCGGCCTCCCACTCGCCAGGGGCGTTCAGCGCGCCCTGCCAGAGCGCGAGCCGGACCGGCCTGCTGAAGCGGGCCCCCGCTGGCGCCGCCCCGGGCCCCATGGCAACGGCAGGTGAGCCAGCGTTCCTTGCCCCGTGATCGTCGGCCTTGGCCCCCACGAGCGTGAGATTCACCAAACAAAGTTTGCACTGAAATGTTCTGATTCTTACTTGTCTTCTAAAAGAACTAAAGAATTGGGTGGGTGCGTCGAAAATTCGCCACCTTCCAGCCCGTTACCGCCCGTTGCCGCCCGCTGCGAACACACACACACACACACACACACACACACACACACACACACACACACACACACACACACACACACACACACACACACACACACACACACACACACACACACACACACATATTTTCACCGGGGTCCACGCTGGCAAGCGTTGTTCCCCAAACAGTGCTCGCATTTAGAGGCTCTTACCTGTCTCATATAGAACTGAGCCTGGTTGCTCGTTCCACCGCCTTGTAGCCGCCCGTCGCCGAACCACTTGGTCACGATTTTGATTGTGCGAGGCTCGAAACAATGACCGTGCGCCGTTCCTGGCAACTTGTGGCCGCCCGTGGCCGCCGTCCGTCGCCGGGAGAGTTTAGTCGCGATGTTGACTGTGCGAGGCTCGCACTTTGCATTGCTTTGCACTGCTCCACATTTAATTGCGTCGCTTTGCATTGCGTTGCGCTGCTTTGCATTGCTTTGCCTTGCTTTGTCTTGCTTTGCATTACATTGCTTTGCATTCCTTCGCGTCGCATTGCATTGCATGGCTTGGTCTTGCATTGCGTGCAGTGCATTGCATTGCTTCGCATTGCTTTGCATTTCTTCGTGTTACTTTGCACTGCGTTGCATTATTGTGTCTCGCCTTGCAGTGTTTTGCGTTGCTTCGCGTTGCTTGACATTGATTTGCGTAGCAGAGCACATGAGGGAGGTGGAGGGAGAAAGACGAGGTGGAAGGGGATGATGAGGTTTGCATTTGTCTCGTTGTGGCCTTGCGTAACACAGCGCTTGCGTACAGCACAACACGCCCAAAGGAAACGTCGACAACAACCATTGGATATCGACGATTTTGCCGTGCTCGGGCTCACTCGGGGCGGTTCTCGAAGCTCTCTTGGGCTGTTTGGGGGGTCTCGTCGGAGCTTGTTGGGGGCCTCTCAGGGGTCTGGGGTGCGTTGGATGCCTCTGGGGGGCCCTGGGGTCCTCTCGGAAGTCTCTGGAGGCCTCCTGCCCCCGCTCGTGGGCTCATCTTGGGCCTGTTCTGGGGTGGTCTGGAACTGTGCTGGGCGCCTCTTCGGCGGTGCCGTCTTGGCCCGTTTTGGGGCCGTCTTGGGGGTCTCTTAGGCGATCTTAGCGCGATCTTAAAAGCCTCTTCGGCCGACTTCAAGCGTTGGAGACGTGAAATGATGAGCAGGCCAAACACCATAGAAACAAAACACATGCAACTTAACGAAATTAGGTTCTCCAGGGCGCCCACGGGAGGCCTCTCGGAGCTCTCTTGAAGTCTCTTTGACGCCTCCTGGGAAACTGGAGAGCCGCCCGAAAGCTATCCTGGGTTGCTTGGGGGCGTTGTGGGCCTTTCTTGTGCGTTCTGGGGGCTACTTGGGGTCGTCTTGGGCTGTCGCTGCCTGGGGGGCCTTTTAGCGTGGCGCTGGGGGCGCAGCCAAAGTGTGATCGAGGTGGAGGGCGCCCCGGGAAGGGACCGGCGCAATTGTGATATCTACATATATATATATATATATATATGTGCGCGCGCCTGGTCCCAGCAGCGCGGCAGAGAGCGGGGCGACCCGCAATGCGACAGAAAGCTGCAGCCCATGGACGTCGACAGCCGCGAGTGGCCATTGCGGCGCGGCAGAGAGCAGCACGACCCGGAGCAGCACGACAGAGAGCAGCAGCCTTTGGACGTTGACATTCGCGAGTGGCCACAGCAGCGCGGCAGAGAGCAGCGCGACAGAGATCAGCAGCCCTTGGACGTTGACATCCGCGAGCGGCCCCAGCAGCACGGCAGAGAGCAGCGCGACCCGGAGCAGCACGACAGAGAGCAGCAGCCCTTGGACGTTGACATCCGGGAGTGGGGCCAGCAAGCGAGCGGAGAGCAGCACGACCAGAACCGCGACCACGAGGCCGACGAACCGCATCCTGGATCGCGGTGGTCAGGGTCATCTCGTCTCAGCGGCCGAGCTCTTCCACCTGTTCCACGCCGCAGCTGCGCTTCATCGGTCACAAGTGCTTCACGCACATCATCGCGCCCGCTGGCTTGCCCCAGCGCCCGCGCGCCTCGACCCCGGGCGCCGGCCGCGCTGTCCCCAGCGCTCGATTGTGTTCACGGCGTGCTCAGCACCCTGCCACCTCTGCTCGTTATGGGGCCGCTCCATATCCTTCCAGTGCTGGGCAGCTTTTGCCCGGCCCAAGCGGCGCATGTTGCTCTCGGACCTTTTCTTCGCGGGCCATCCCACCCTGCTCTCATTCTTGTGGCGGCGTGCATCGGACACACCCCTCTGCGATTCTCACGTTGGGGGGCGGTGGTGCACGGAGGCCTCGTGCAGCGAATTGTAGCTTCTTTGTGCACGTACGCTGCGGCCTCCGACGTGCACTTCAATCGACCGCTCTGCGAGGCGCTAACCGTCGCCTGCACGGTCGCTCTCAGCCCCGCTGGTTACTCCAGCTTGTCCTCGAAGACGGCCTTCGCCAGCCATGCTGTCTCGTTGGTTCGGGCCGTCGCCGCGCCCGCCTTCCCCGCCAGCCCAGCGGTGCCGGCCCGCCAGGCTGCCCCGGCCGACTCGCCACAGGGCGCCCCTGCTCCTCGTGCTGCCCCTCCAGCGGGCCCACCCGCCGCGCCGCCGCTGGCGCCGGCCGCGGGTCAAGCGGCAGAGACGGAGTGGGCAGTTGACGTCGTGCCGCACCGCCGCTCCTGCGCGTGCCAAGCCAGCGCTTGCCGCAGGCCTTTCTCCAAAGGCGACCTGCGCGTGCACCGCGCATCCCTTGCCTTGGCTCACAGGAATTATTGCTGCCCGAGTTGCGTGGATGGCGGCCTCGGCCCATCTGACCTGGTCCAGGGGGGCGCTCTCCCTCCGCCAGAGGCCCAGCCGGAGCTGCGCCAGTCTCGCGGCCAACCGGGGCGCCCCACGCGGGCGCATCACCTTGCCGAGTCACGCGCTGGACGCCTGCGCCGCCGCGCGGTCAGCCAGGCGCAGGCGCCGAGCCGCAGGGCCCCGCGAGAGGACGACGACGCTGACGACGACATCGCGCGGCCGCCTTGTCCCGACGCCGACGGCGGATCGGCCCAGACGCCCCCCCACCTGAACTGGTGGGGCGGCGTGTCGTACGACGAGCTGGGAACGGACATTCGGGCCGTCGGATCCGCCCCAGAGCCGCTGGCGAACTCCCTGGCCGCGCTCCGATGGGGCCGTTACAACCGCCTCCCTCGACGCACAGCGGGCCGGGGATCCCGCCGCTGCCAGCAGGGCAGGCAAGCTGTTGACTTTTTTTTCGACGGGGTTACCCTCTTCGCCCCGACTCGGGCCCGCGGGGGACGGAGCGCCAAGAACAGCGGAGGGCTGTCCAAGGTCCTTGCGCGACGCATCCGCATGGCCTGGCGCGGAGATTGGGGGGCCATGTGGCGCGAGTCAGTCGCTGCCGCCGCGGCCGGGGCCCCCGCTGCCGCGCGGGGGCGCGCTTGCCGACCGCGGGGCGCGGCGAGAACCGTGGAGACCTTCCTCGCCGAGGGCCTTGTCTCCAAAGCCATGGCCTCGGCGACTCGCGCAGCCACGGTGGTCGCCGACGCCAGCGCGCGCGACGAGCTTCGGAACCTTTTTCCACGGGGCGCCGCCGCCGCCGCAACCGCAGCGCAGCCCCCCGACGACGAGACCCTGGAAAAGCTGCAGCACGCCGTGCGCAAGGCCATCGAGCAGGCCCCGCGGAGATCTGGCCCAGGGCCTAACGGTACCCGCTTCGAGCACAGGAAGACTTTGCCGGCGGACTCCGCGGCGCTGGAGGCGAATTGCCAGGTGGCCGTAGCCTTCCTCATCGGCGACCTACCTGCCGACTTCACTGAGGCCAACCTGGGGGCCCGGCTGGTGGCGCCGCGGAAGAGGAACGGAATGGCGCGCGGGAGTGTCCTCCGCAGGCCGGCGGCGAAAGCGGCTTGCGAAGTCTTCGGGGAGGAGCTGAAAGACGGGCGCGGCCCGCCACCAGTTCGCGGTCGGCACAAGGGCGGGTTGCGAGCGGGTTCACACAATTGCGTCGCCGCGTTGGCCGAAACGCTACCAGGGGCAGCCGTGTTGGCCTTCGCCGCTACCAACGCGTTCAACGCCTTGCCCCGGCAAACGGTGCTGGGCGCAGTCGCCCGCCGAGCGCCGAGCCTCCCCCCCGCCGCCAACGCCCGGCCGACGCGCCATGCGACGCACGTTTTCTGGGGCGACCGCGGCAACCCCGCGCCCGTGTCCGCCCAGAAAGGCGTCGACCAGGGATGCCCCCTCAGCCCTGCTTTTTCGCCCTGGGTATCGCGGGCGCCCTAGCCCGCGCGCGCGAGCGCCTCCAGCGACTGAGCCCCGCCTCACGCATTTTCTCCTATCTCGACGATGTCCCCGTGGTGGTGCAGGCTCACGACGTCGCGCGGGAAGAAATGGCTCGAAAAGGCCTGGAGCTCAACGCGACAAAGACTCAGGTGTGGGCCGCCAGCCCAATCACCGCGGTGCCCCCTCAGCTCGACGGCGGCAACGGCTTCCCCTCCGCCCGGGAGACCGCGCCCCGCGCTCACCTTGGAAGCTGGGCCTTCTGCTTTCAAAGCGTGGCGACCTGCCTCGGCGCCACCTCGGCAGAGGCTGCGCGAGCTCGCTGCCCTCAGACGGCAGACACTTGGCGCCGGGCCGAGGCGGAGCTCGACCAGCAAGAGGTGAAGACCGACCCCCAGGACTGGGCAGCCCTCCCGGCCGAGCCCTGGACCGAACAACAGGGACACTGGGGAAAGAGGGCCTCTGCCGCCAAGGGAGAGCGACTCCTCTAGACCCTGAGCGAGGACGGCCAGCTCGCTCTACGCGGAGCCGGGAAACCTGGCGCAGGGGCCTGGCTCCTGCCGCGCGAGGGGGGCGACGCGCTTCTGCC